AGTTATGGGTCATTGCAATGTTTTGGGGGGTTTTTTAGTGCAAAGAAACATACACATAATTGCAGTAACGTGATATACCAGTGAGAATGTCTCAGCTTCTAGTAACAGTTCTCTCTAGTTCGGTTTTCAAGTTTCCCTAAACCCAAAGTACTTTTCCTTCATTCAGTATATGCAACCTACCGAATACCGACCACCCCCCTGCCTCGTTAACTACAAATCAACCACAAACCTAAGTGCTTTCTCTGTGTGGCCGCCGTTCGTATAACCGAACAACACATGCTCTAGAAAACAGCAGCACTTGGTCGTTGAGCGGTTGGAACTCAAAGACGGATACTCACACTCGCATACCCCAGTAACTTTGTGCCAACGACTGCTTCTGTTCCCAGCAAGACAGGCGAGCGCTACCTACGAGTCAGGGGAACCATTTTGGTGCACCAAACGCCCTGGAACTGTTCTGGGCATGGGACCACCTGTGCGGCCGGTCAGAACTTTTCCCCAGTGGCGGTTTAGAATTCATGAATCTGAGCGCTATTTGGACAACTTGGGCGCTCAGATCAAGGCCATCTGGGGATGTAATACTTGTGGGTGTTCCTATCCATATTATGTGTATTTTGGGGTGTTTTCTGTAATAATTTGTACCTCTAGTGCCTGGGAGATAATTAGTTTAAGGTAATGGAGGAGCCTGCCAGCTAGCCTATTACCCAAGGACTATGGGCCATATCCAAAGACCCTGTTCTGGAGTTAACCCTGGGTGCCCCAGGTGCGGCACGTTCCCTTCATTCGAATGGAACCGAACACAAGCTCCCTGGAGGCCGTTTGAATGAAGAAACCCACAAATTGTCCTCAGCAGTACTTAGATCATTATGGAAATAAATTCGGCATGGGGACTTCGTGGGTCCCCGGTCACCTCAGCGGGACTTAGCCGCGAATGTTATGGAACTGTGTAGCGGGACCTGGGTAACCTGGCTGGTTATTCCCTTTATTAATAATAGGTCAGACCCATTTCCCCCAGTAACTGGACGACACACAGTTCCAGGGTACCACCTTTGACAAGCTTTATTTGGGCACACTGCTTTTTATGCACAGACCCCCACAGGGGGTCTCCATCCAACACAACACAAGCCCAGGCAGGAGGGGGCTAGGTTACAGATAACCATCTCCCGCTCTGGGAGATCCCAACAGGACACAGGGGCACACATGGAAACACATTACATACAGGGGGATGAACTTTGGGGCTCGGCACCCTGGGACAGGAAGAGGTTACAGAGTTGAAACTTATATTTATAAATAGCCCTGGGTCCCATCTGGGATCCCTGCAAAAAGTGGGGCGATCGGATGTACATTGCCCCAGATATCAGCATTGAAAGTCTGGGGCTCAAGGCTTTACATCCCCGAAATTAGTTCCATGGAGTTGCTTGGTTTAGTCCGGCGAATTGAAACTTCGCACCTAAACCAAGCAACAGCCAATCAGTGCTCGGGGAAGGAAGGAGTTTCGCTACACATCCAGAAGAAAGGGCGTGAAACCCTGTTTAAATGGGCGCTCTTACTCTGATTGGTCGCTGGCCCCGCAGCGACCAGTCAGCGCTTACTTGTGCTGACCAACCAGGAGAATGTTGCGAACCCAGTTTGAATGGGCACTCCTTCTCCCATTGGTCAGCACGGGCTTCCACGCCGGAGTGCCCCTGTGTGGTTAAAAGGTACTTTGCATGATTTGGGGTCAAAATTACAGAAAAGGGGGAAAATTACAAAGGGGGAACACACATTCCAGGTTGAGTACATCCACAAAGATGAAAAGTCAATTCAGTTAGACAGCGGTCCCGCCACAAACTGTTTTCGGTTCTCGCACTTGCTCCTGGTTTTGAACGACTTTGCAACCCGCCAGGAGAGTGCTTTTTGAACGGAAGGTGCCTAAGACTAAGGGGAACAAATGCTACCTAAGAGCCAGCTGGAGCACCCCGTATT